CGGCGTCGATCCTCGTCGGTCCTCGTTCCGGCGTTTACAAAGGAAAAGAAAAAGTAATTAGTGGCTCGAGGGGGTGGTACGAAATAATTCGTCATGCGATACGTCGAAGCGTGTTTAGAAGTAATTTCCTCGCCACGATCGCAACCGTTGTTCGAACATTTTAATTAGATGGAACGGTCCACGCAATCAAACCGGCAGGGTTAATATTTAAATAATCGATTCGCTTTTTGGTGTTCAGGGAAATTGCACCTTTTGCCCAATTATTTCGTTCGGAAACTCTCAATTGGTCGAACGATAAAAACCTTCGATATTTCAAATCGAAATGATATAAATTGTTGATCGAATGACGAAGATTGCAGTCTTTATTGGGAGGAAAGTTTGTAATTCAAAATCATTCAGGGACAAAACAAGCTCCTTTTTTTCAACAACGAAATTTAAATTATATGGAAATAGAAATAAAGGAAGCTTGTTCGAACCTTGCATAGTTATTTTTTAATTGACTGATTTCTTGTAAGAATATTACTACATGGAACCGGAGCATTCGAAGGCTTCTGAATATTAACGTTACATCCGCAAATATACCAACGCCGATAGGTATGACGGACAACATGGCGATGTAAATATTGATTATAGAATCATGTATTAAAAGTATCGTACCCCGAATGAAATATACAATATTTGAAATTAGTACGTAGTATTTGTTCAATTTTTAATATCTTAACGATTCTTCGAAATTGTACGAACATGTTAATCTCCGAATGTTCCCAGTAATATAGAGTAATTTTAGCTTCGAAATGACGAAATTGGGACTGTCAGTTTATTTGAAAGCGGTGTGGGTAGAGATTTTTATTTAGCGTCGCAGTCTGATCTCGTACGTAATGTCTGACAGGGAAAATAAATGGGACACACCGACATTGAGCGAGACAGAGCAACAGCGAGCAAGTTTCGCATTACACGTGCTCGGCAACCGAAACTTCAAAGCGATGTCACACGCGTATTGATGTGTGTATCAACCTCTAATGGGAAATAAAAATTGTCGTATTTTTCGTTCTATTTTTAATAGAGCATTGGTGAGGTATTCTTAACTCAGATTCATTCAAACACGTCCTCGATCTTATTATATTATTATTATTATCCTTTCGATTTAAAAATAATACCACGCAAGATTACGTTTTTTCATCAGTGATGTGTTAAATTTCTCAATTGGTAAAATTTTTATGGACGATAATTCCATAACGTTTATTCCTAAATACCGTAAACCGTCCGACGTGAGGAGTCGAGGGAGTGCAAATACTCGTACGACTCCCATCCACCGAAGCACGCTCAACAGAAATTCACCGGTGGCATCGCGAAGCATTCTGATTCGCGCGCAAAGCTATCCCTCTCCCTGTGATGTTTTCCTCCATCAATCGCAATCAACCGACTCCCCAGAGCCTCCTCAAAGATGTCCCGGGGAATTCGTTTCCTTTGGCTTCGATAACAATGCGAAACCCGGAGGTCCGGCAACGAGCCCGGATGCACCGATGCGAGAATATTCCCCGACCGAACGACTCTCGCGTGTCACTCCGGGTCGAAAAGAAAGAAAGAACGGGGGGCCAGATGGGGACGGAGAGGGAGGGGGGTGAGAAAAGTCGTGACCCTTTCCATTTGCAAATTAAACGGCCACGTCCTTGATTTCAATCCGTGAAACCCAATCGCAGCTTTTCCATTGTAGCCCGACTTAAGCCCAGCAACTAGGCGTTTAATCTTAATCGATCTCCTCAGGGTCTAGATATATATCTGCGTCCCTTTCTAGTTCCGCCAGGGTCTCATCCTTTTTCCCCCGTACAACCTCTCCCCAATCTTGGCTTCCTTTCAGGAGGACCGTCTCTCGTTCCACTTCCTTTTCCGACACCTTCTTTCCCGATCTTCGTGCCTCGTCCTCTCTCCGTTCTCCATTACGTACCCGCTTTATTCCTTTCTCTGTCCCCGTCCCTCTCGACGGTCCCCTTAAAACTGGGCGTTCCGTTTTGCCCGTCTTATCTTAATGGTTTGCCCCGGCGAACGAAAGTTTAGTTATTATCGCGGCCGTTGTCGCTCCGGTTCGCGAGCTGCTACCAGGGAGATCCCATGAAAATATGGCGGGTAGATAGAGGCGGAGGAAATTGCCGGTACGACGCGTACTCGATTCCGCGGCTACCGGCGATTCGAGAAGCCGATCGTCGCCGAGATTCGCCCGGGAAACAATCCGCGCTGAAAAGGAAAGTTGTATTGCACCGGAGGTGGCCGCGGATCCCGGATAATAACGGAGTTCCTCCACGGTTCTCGGGATTTTATCGAGTCACGACGACGCTCGTGGGGGGACTCGGTAAAGTTACACTGGGTCATGGCCGCGAGATTTAATCGTTTCCGTTTCACGTAATTTACCCGCGTCTCGCTGGCAAAATTGCGACGCGATCCGACGAAATTTTTACCGGAGATGTTGATATATGACCGTACTTGTTGCGCTTTAATGGACGAGCGCTATATGAAAGTTTAACACAAGCGGCCGGGTTCGTAAGAGGGTCCTTTTTCTACCCTGTACCGTGTCAAGTTGACGTCGTTCCGCGGTAGTAAATTCGTCGAGCCGTTGAACGTAACCGCGCGTGCCTCGAAAAATGAAATATTCATTCTTGATTCGCATAATTTATTTATGATTTTAAATATATTTCCCCGTCGGTTTGACCGTTTACGTACTCGGACCAAAAACTTCGTGGAGAATTTATGAAATATTTCCAACGTAACAACGTTCGATGAAAAACTAAACTTTTTCTGTTATTCGGTAATTTGTTTCAAGCCCTGTTAGCTTGCAAGCGCAGAGAAGGGTTTAATCTGGAACAGACGTAGACGCGAAAGATTCTTAGACCCATTCAAATATGAAATCGCGCCAAGGAACAAATACCACTTAATCCGTGTACATCCAAACGCGGACTAACCCGGTGTATCTCTTCCCCGTTGCACAAATCCGTAATGCAACCTCGGCACGCATTACCTTAAAACATTCAACCGTGAATAACACTGTTCCCGGCATCATGCCTCCCTCGTTACGCAGATTCACCCCAAACTTAAAGTAATAACCCAAGCCGCCTACGAGACCCGCTCAGGTACGGGCCAGCCGTAATTTCCACCCGGAGTTTTACTTCGCGCGCGCTCCATTTCGCGCTTAACGCTGTAATTTCACTACATCCGAATGCACGTACGTACGTTTCGCCGGTAGGTGCAAACATACCTCTTGTTTATCCGGCCATAGCTTTGCCATTACATCCGTTTACCCGGAACTTAACGCAGTAGCCTTAGTTACGTCTGAGAGCACATCCACGTGTATGCATACAAATAGATAGAGTGGACTGTAAACTCTGGCGAAATCGGAGAGACAGTTATCCCTCTCGGCGACGCAAGACGAATGGCTGAAGTAGCTTCTTTGTGTACCGTTATACCATACAGAAATACGGCGTAGCTGCCCTTCGGATGGCGTCTGAATTGTTTCTGGATAAACAGCAACACACGATGATTTAGTCTTATGAAACTGTAATCAACCTCCCTCTAACACGAGTTGCTCTTGTCTGTCTGGACCAGTTATATATTATTAAACTGAACGAAGCTGACGTGAAATGACACTTTTTTTTTTGTGTATGAACGAAACGAATAAAGAAAAATAAAAAATAAATAAAAATCCTTCGATTTATTTTGTGATAATCGTCCTCATCCTCTGGTTACCCTATCGGTATCTGCTAGTGTAGATTCATTCTGGTTTGACACACTGCCATTGTATACTTTTTAATAACTGACATTAGGAACACTACAAAATAACAAGACTGTTATATTTAATGTAATACTTCACTTTATAAAATATTTTCTATGCGTTCAATCTCATTCATACTTGATCTTAATTCCCCATTCGCTCATATAAACGGTGTATTTCGTACGTGCACGAGTGTAAATAAATTGTTTAGTATTAAAAAGAAATCCACTAAATCTGAACGAATTTTATCACCGTGCCTAATGGAGCTCTTTGAATTTCACCCGCTTGTATGTTTGTATATAACTCACACTGCTTTAGCAACTAAACGAGTCATTATTGGTCATAGTTTCGAAGTTCCCAACTAAAATCATTTGTGTTGATCCCTCTTTGTACTAGTTCTGAACTTCCGTACTGATAAGAGTACCTGAAACCGAAAACTTCGTCGCCCTTTCGCTGTCACGACGCAATCCTGCTTCCTCGATAGTCGACCTACTTCTGGAACCTTTCGCGGACACTAACATAATTCCAAATCTGCACAATCTTACCGAAATTTCCAGGCGACTTACATGCCCTGCAAAGTCAACGTCGCTTGAAAGGAAACGCCCTTGGTTTCTGAGATTCAGCCGGGTAACTCAGGAGGCAGGAAAGTCGACGAAGAGCATTCCAACTGCTCCTCGTCGGTAATGAGTTGTTCTTAATGAGTTGATATTTCCAGACATCTATTGATTGCGGTAACAGTGGGAACGTTTCATTACCGCGTCGTTTGTTGAGACAGTTCCCTTGCTTGTGCATGGCTCATTGTTAGTCACACATGAATCGACCAACGTGTTACGTACGCGAATCGCGAAATAGAAATTTCCTTTTCCGAGAAAATTAACCACGATCTTCGCGATCGCTCTAGGCAAAAGAAAAACTGAAAGGAGAATTCCAAATAAGTGGATTTAAGATTTTTTAAGCAAGAAGTTATTAAACTATTCCTTACAAGTTCAGAAAAGCTAACATTGGAATTAAAAAGTCTGTAATGGACTGTTCTAAGAACTCGGAGGAACCTGAGCGTTTGAAATTTAATTTTCGGTTTAACGAAATAATATCGACGCTTCTGAAGTTTGCTTCCTTTTCTAAAACAGAAGACGTCCTGTCGCGTAGGGCATCGAGATCGACGACTGCTTCGAAAAAACGATTAAAATTACAGGTTATTCGATGAAATAAGATAACAAGTTTCCCCCGGACAAATACAACTATGAAACGCAAGCGGGCAGAATTGCAAACTCTGGGCAAACGATTTGGGAAAACGGATCTCGATCGAGTTGGTAAAGTACACGTACAACGATCGAGGTTCTTGTTTCGCACACGTACTTCTACCATATTTTTCAAGGGTATTTCCACGATCCATCTCCGGCGCCCTTCGACAAGTACATCGGAACTGCTGTAACTTTTCGCGAGGGCATTGAGAAAGGTCGTCAATTGCTCGCCGGTCCTTCGACACCTTTATTCGAACAGAAATTCGTTCGAATTTTCAGCGGAGAAGCATTGAACGAGCCATGGCGATTAGAAGCGGAAGAACGGGTAATCGGAGCGACATTTTACACGCAGCCAATTAATTTCAGTTCGGTGATCGCTTCTCTCGATCGTCCTGAGATTTATTGCTGCAGAGAGAGAAAAAAAATTGTTAAAAATCTTGTTCCTCGAGTTGTTACAAAGTTACCTCGACCGTTTCTTGGAACTGTTGCCGCGGAGCAAACTTCAGGTTACAAACGAGTTAACGAAATCGAACTGTTGCTTTATCATTATAAAATTGTTTTAATACCGAAGGATTCTTAAAACGATACCAATAGAAACATACTGGAATGATTTTAAGTTAAACGAGTAACGTGTAATTATAGAAGGATCTACAACAAATGGATTTTTTCCACCCCCAATTTCCTTTTTACAACTGGTGTTTGTAATGGTGATCTTTGTATCACGAAATGTGTAAAATTGTCCCACAGAAATTATCACGAATGCAAAAAAATTAAATTTTCATTTATTAGAAATATAATTCCTGAATTATTTCGACCAATTCTTCAAGTAAATTAAGTGTATTTCCTTCTTTTATTTTGTAATAAATTTTTGAAAATATTTTGTAATAAATATCGGCGATGTCTACCGTTCCTAATGTTTCTAAATTCGTTAAAATAAAGTCTACGTCGACGCTATCGCTGTTTCATAGCGAGAGGCTCGCATTTGCATTACGATCGGTTACCGAAAAGCGGTTATTGGTCTCCGGCGAAAAAAACGCAAAAGAAGCTCGCATTATTTATGAGAACCGACGTTTCAATCGCAGTCCCGAATCCGATCTCCTAGAAACTGAAGAGAAATACTTTTGCAGACCCTGACTTCCACGATAAGAGAGTCAACCTGATATCTCGACCGTTTCGCAGTTGAAACGCGATAGAGCGAAAATCGGCGGTGTCATGCTGCCACCCTCGCCGGCTAAGAAGCACGCGACACCTGGTGATTGGCACGGTTGCTTCGAGAAAGTCACCTACTTCAGCCCTGCCGAAAGAAAAGAGCCAAAGACTGGGCCTGAACCACCGAATGTAATGACCAGACCTAATCCCCTCGGAGGACCAGGATACGCAGACATTGGCATCAATCCTTTCCCCTCGTACTCTCACGAACCCTATGACCCGGAAATAAGAGTCAAAGGTAACGTTGTGCTACGCAATAATCCGTTTTGGAGATATCGCAATTTATGTAAAAGGTACTTTTTTTAATTCGACTATCTCTGTACTACTAGTGTTTTATTCATTATTAAGCCATTGTTGAAAGCGGCAAACCTTCCTCTTTAAACTGGTTTTTGGTTTTTGACGATCCGACTTTTCGTTTTCGAGATATCGTAATTTATGTAAAAGGTAATTTTTAAAATTCCGCTCTCCGCCTTAGAAAAGGCTATTAACGCGTATTAAAAATAGTAAAACTTTAGACTCGTGCAGTTCCAAAACTACTAGTGTTTTATTAATTATTAAGGTATTGTTAGAAGCGGTGAACCTTCCCCTTTAAAATGGTTTTTGGTTTTTGGCGATCCGACTTTTCGTTTTCGAGATATCGCAATTTATGTAAAAGGTAATTTTTCTTAATTCGGCTATCGCTGTCTCCGTCTGACGCGTCGCGCCGGACCTCTCTTTCTCGCACGTGACTCGTGACCGTCGTGGCTCAGTGACCTACTTTCAATGCGCGCGCGCGGTCAACGACCTTGACAAGGCCGTAGCAAAAAGTAAACAAACGCTTCGGACCCTTCTATTTCCGGAACTAGCCACCGCGTCGACTTGAAACTAAAATCGCTATATCTCCGGAACTAATAAAGCTATCGACTCGTACAAACGCTCATTTTAAAGGGCATTTCATCCTCTATCCAATGACTATACAATCTACTATAATTTTTACTGTCTTCTATGTTTATTTTCTCATTTACTTCGACGTTACATACACAAAGTAGTTTCAACACTTCCTGTCGACTATATGATTGGTGTACAATAAAACTGGATTTGTATTTGCTTTAATATAAGCAAATTCAAATGAGATTAAAACGTCAAAACCATATCATTACAAAGGAATATATTGTTATGCTGCTAGGGAATAATTCCTTGAGAAAAATAATTGTGTACCGACTTAGTATGGCATACTATTGCAACGAGAAACCTGAGGCGCCGTATACTATTACAGCAGTGCATGCTGGTATCCTGCTCTGCCCAGTTACGTTCTAATTTTTGTATTATCCGCGGCGCTCAATTTCATATTCCTTATTTGTTTGTTCATTACCCCTTTCTCGGGAATAGTAGACACGACAAATAATACTACCGAGCAGAAAGGTAATATAAAGAGAGGTTGCATAGCGGAAGAAGATTAGAGTCTCGCTTTCCCTGTCCCCGTTTCCTTTTTCGGCAGAATTTTGTTTCCCAAGCCAGCGCAACTAATTACATTTTTGTCGTAAGGAAGGCAGGAAATGAAACCTCACTACACACGGACAGTTTTTTTTCCTTTCCACCTTTGCGCGCATTTTCAAGCATCGCCCGAGACTGATTTCAGGGAAACCAGAGGTAGACTTTAACAAGTGAAATTAACTTAAACCGTTTGCTTTTATTGGCTTAATTGTCGCGGGATAAACACATTAATTAGACAATTGTTTGCCGTGTGGCCTGGTACGTCGGAGAAAAATCTTGTCACAATTGAAGCGTCGCGTTTAAATTTCATTGAACGTCCTATCATTCAGGCTAAATTTAAAGGTATAGAAACGAGAATAACAGCACATTATTCTCTATGTTTGTATCTGAGAAAGCTTTGTTAATGATAGTTTCTCTTTGTGTGGGCGACAGAGAGACCCGTGGGCCGATTTTTGTACGCCAGCGCGCCCCTGGATCATTTCCCGCCGGATCCATACAAGGACGACGCTCCTGGACCCACTTACGTTCGACCCGTCGAGGTAAAACCAAAAATAATAGGACCTGGTCGGATTTACGTTCCGTTCCCTAAAAAACCTGGCGGAAATCACTCCGGATGCTTCGACAAATTTCCGGAGTATTCAAGTGATCCTTACGAGAAGGATACGAAGAAGGAGAAGAAGGTGGAAGGTTGGTTTATTCTCGGCGGACCACGCCTGCGAACGAAATACACCAATAGCATCATAAATCAAGTTACCAGGATATCCTGCAACGCGACGAATTATATGGACTATCAACCACGAGTTTATTCTTTGCGCACGGTAAAATGCAAGAAATAAAAATTTCTGCGTTTCGTGTATTTCATAAATTTCCTCGAACCTTTCCAAGACGATATCCTTCCTTACACGGTATTCGTGGAATAAATATTACACGTATACGTAAATACTTTTTCTTCGTGGACATATAAGATATATACAAAATTCGATTATAAATATTAACAGCTTCCTAGTCTCATGGACATGAGAATGGTAATTTTTAGTCTAAAATTGATGGTCATAAATATTGATTACTAAAGTAAACAGAGATTACTCTTTCGACAACTTTAAAAAAATTGATATATTTTGGAACCCGTAGCTATGCGAATTTTAGCCAATTTTTTACCACCCTCCTTTCTGAAACAGCGCCAATCCAAACGAGAGCAACGCCGTTGCTATTTTTGTTTCCCCGTTGACACAGGAATTCAATGTTGCACGATCGCGTTAACAAGGACCCAGGATGCACTGTGACCGGACGACTTCCAAGGGGCGAAAAAGCGGTCTTCGAACGCACGACAAATACAATGGTACCTGTCCTAGCGCGGGACACGGCCCTTTCAAAGCGAATCACTCCGCCGCGCCCGAACTTACTAATGAAATTCTAACGAACGTTCTGTGGCGCGGAGTCCACTCCTGGCAGTCGCAATTAAACGTTCCTGGCAAACATCGCGTACCAGGACGACAGGGTCGTTGCGTCACTTAAAGGCTTGCCGTGCTGCTAAGGTCATTTGTATTTGACTGGCAGCAAGTAAGGCCGCGTAATTAACGGGATGTTTTGCCCGTCCGGGGAAAAACTGCTGATTTCCCAACCGACAAACGACCAAATCTCGGCTAGCAGCAACAACATCGTTAAAACGACGACACGGCCTGGACTAAAAGCGAAACAAATTGTTGTGATCCCTCGGGCGTGTATATGGAATCACTTTCATAAGCCGCGAGAACTCTCACAGGTTACGTGTTTTTGCGAATTTCTTTAAGGGAATGGATTTTAAAATTCTGCGTAAAAAATACGAACCGACGCTACAATTATTGGAGAAATATTTAAACGTGTCGAGAGACAGGGTAAGTCGCTCTGACAAACTCTGATACGCGTACGGTTTCCTTTATACGAAGCGTTAACTCGGTCGATTTCCCTCGAAATAACTAACTTGTAAAATTATTCGACGAACGATTAACTGCGGCGTCATTACAGTTGATAACTGTAATTGTAACTTTGCTCGATGGCTTCAAATAATTAATGAGCGCTAATTGATTCGAAGCTTCGTTAACTTGGGACCACTAGGAGCCACTCGGAGTTAAGCCGTCGCGTCTGCTGACTTGCTTTTGTGTGCCATCGTGCACTCTCAGTCGCCAGTTAACAATGCTCCCGTAATAGGATCAGATTTCAACGTCGAATTACAAATAAAAATTTTCTTATTCCTCATTATCTACATGTACGAATTTTATCGAACGGTTCCTAAAATTCTCCTGATCAAAATGAGACTAAACACGATATCGTTCACAAGAAAAATAGGTGAAGTTTTAGTTTTATTTTCATTGATAAAATTCTCGCGAACGAAACTTCACAGAAACTTAATCAAGACTGTCAAATTTTTCATTCTCCATTGCCAACAGACATCTATTTTTTCATCTATAACGACTGAACCCCAAAGCTTGAATCCCCGATCAAATCGTGCGAGTCAGACACAGTTTACGCTGGTAACCGAATATTTCACCGGAATCATTTATGGAAACGCTGTAACTCTTTTTAAGAAGACAAGGAGTAACGCCCTCGTATCGGAGCGCAATAAGCGTTTTCGCTCCGTCAGCCTGCTGAGAAATTTTCAAGTGGGAGTCTGCTGACAGACAAGAAATGGCGGCAGGTAGGTATGATTCCGCGAGATTTATTCCGTGGCTGAAGCCGGCCATTTCTCCGTGCCGTGTCGTTGCGCCGGTATTAAACATTCCAAGCATTGCGATACCTTCCACCACCTTTTCCCTCTGATACACACCCCTACTCGTGGCCGCGTAGCGCCTTCAACCAGGACCAGAGACATCCGCGCGATCTTCTACAGAGACGCAGACAAACAGGCAAACACACACACACGCGCGCAAGTGTGGAACTCTGCGAGTTCCGACTCTGAAAAAGAGGATCGGGGCCAGGAAAGGGAGAAAGCAAAAAGGATCGAAAGATATGCGACTTCGACGAATCCAGTGAAATCTTCTGAGCAGTCTCGTTCAGCCGAGAAAACTCCATCACAGTAAACCGAGGAGATGCTTCGCGGAAACACCGTGTACGTAGATGCAAATCAGGAATGTATACATAACCTGTGTACATACATATGGACATCTTTACGGTTCAGCAAGGCTAAATTCCCGATTGTTAATGTTTCATCACAGGGTACCCTTCCTACCTTTGTTTTCTTTCACAAGATGGTGTTTTAGAGAAAAGTATTTATATATCTTCTACACGTAAAACATTTCTGCCAATTTAATTTCGATTTTTCTATCTAGTATAGGGAAACCTGCAGTAAAATATCTTTGACTCTTCAAATTTTAATTACTGTAAAATTTTAAATTGTTATAATTTTGTATACTTTTATGTACTAGTATGGACGTTAACTTGTTGTTACCATAAATTATGAAACATTTTTCATTGAAAATATACTATATAAATATCTATGATACAAAAATGTATGTAAATACAAATGGTATTACAGGATACAAAATTATATGTTCGCGATAAAGGCAACTTAAATGAAATATTAGTACTTCGCGTATTTTCTACGATTGCTAATTACGACGAAAAATCTGAACCGTAATTCCGTCTTATTTTCGTGCGGGGAATCACCGTGGAAAAGTTCGTTCACCCTGCAGCTAAATATCGTGAACGTTGCACGAACTGCCTGGCTATCGATTTACTAATAAAATATGAAAATAAAAGCGAACAACTGCCAGACGACAGCTTATTGGAAACGTTACAATCTGCAGTTTGTATTAAATATTGATCTGATTCCGACGGATACATATACCTTGCAACCAAGTATCGTACAAGTAGCACGTACTCTGTGATTGGATGTATCATAATTCTAGGCCCACTGGGGGTTACGTCTGTAGCGCCTGACGACGGGAATGGTCGCTCTAACTACACGAAGACGCAATGATTATATAGTCACGTGCTTAGAATGTTCTGGACATGCTATCACCTCTAGCTCTGACCCGCGGTAGAACCATAGTCCAAACATTACAATTGTCTGTCTGAATATAGTTGCGACCCTTGGATTTAAGTTCCGTGTAACGTATCGTGTAGCGTATCTACTCGTTGTAACATAGCGAATGAGACTTGCAATAAACTAGAATTGCTTGTCGGTGAATATTTCGGTTACAGAAACGTGTCGCTTTTCTACTGTGAGGTAATCTTTTACGCGTATACTCTATTGGAGCGAGTGTTGGAAAGAAACAGACATTAAGGTTAGCGAAATAACGAACGAACTTACAAAAGATGCATTCATTTTGCTACCAAAAGACCGAGCCTTAAAAATCTCGCCCAGTATCCTTCAAGGATACTGTAAATACAAATTCCTGAATCACTGGGAACGATGAATGGAAAAATTGCGAAACCTCATTTGCGTTAAAACTAAATTTTAAATGGAGTCCCTTTTAATTTCTTGGTGCGAATGAAAACAGTTTCGAACGTACAAAGGATACAAATACTTTAAAACGCTTTTCACCTTTTACTACGACGGAGTCAAATTATCGCCAGGCTGCGGATTTTAGAGAGTATATGCTAAACGTAACGATACGACTGAAAATGTGACTTTGGCCTGATTGTTCAATTTTTAGGCAATTTTGACTTGTAGCTTGTAGAGTGTCTAACCCAAATTATATATTTCTAAAATTTTAAACTCTTGATTCTCATCAAACTGTTACTATGGAGCACAAATAATCTCACTATCTATTTGCAGTAGCTTCAAGTAGGAAACTGCACTCTTAGACTTACTAAAAAAGTAGAATATTAAGATTATTATATTCTACGTATTATGAAATATATTCTACATACGTTTCAAAAGTATTGTTGCAAAATTTGGACAATGGGTTAAACGTTCGATACGATTAAACATTGAGACTAGCTTGTATCGTATGTTGGATTGGGAATCTCTCGCTCGAGGACACAAAAGGATGGAACAAATTTTTCATGGACACGTAACGTTCGTAACAACGAGAGCTTAAATGTCCTCGCAAAGCACAGCCGAACGGATCGTCGGGACAAACGATATCCTTTTTGGTAAATCTTTCGATCGAGAATCCCGCGAGTTCGGTCAGCAGAAAATTTCATTCCCGTAAATTATAAAAGCATTTCACAGAGGGACGAACATAAACGCGGAAGACCAAAGAGATAATAATTCTACTTACAGCCGTTGTTCCGGCCGAACGACTCCGAATCGCGAATTATTAACGTTAAAAAATGTCTTCGATAGGATTTAACGGACACCGGTTAACAAATATTGTTTTCGTAGTTAATGAACGCATAATTGAATGATGAACTGAATGATGAACTATGGATCATTTTATAACGTACTCGAAACTCTATAGTTTCTTAAAATTTTATGTCCTTTTTGTAAAAACAATGCAAAAGTGCATTACTTTTTCAACCATCTACATTTCTTTTCAATACGGAAGGGTAGACTTTCGTGAAAATACCGTACGAAGGTACACAGATTTAGAACAAAGTCGCTAAAATAAACATTTACCCTTCTCGCAAAAATCGCCATGTTTCATTCGCGTTGACCGCTTGTTCACCAAACTCTGTTGCACGAAAAGAAGGCTGGTCAACGCTATTTCTTTTGCCACTATAAACACTGATGCCGTCGATGCACAAATAATTTTTCGTGCGAA